AACAGATAAGGACTTTCAAAAACAAAAACAAACAAACAAACAAAACTTCCACTTCTACATTGACAATGAATGGTTTTGGAGATACTATGGGGAAAGCACCTTATTCATTATCTCAGGGAAAGGAAGAAAAAAGGGATGAGGAAGAAGAGGAAAGTAGGAGGGAGGGGAGAGAAAGAAGCAAAGAGTTGAAGGAGAAAACATGAGTATAATCAATATGTGAGTTAGAAAATAAATGATTAAATTGAAAAATAAAGTGGATTTCTGCTTGAAAAGCTTAGTCCTTCCCTAGTGCATTTTTATTTCTGATTTAATGCCATGGCACAGGGGTGGGCAGTTATAGCTGTTACAAGCAAAGAATAATTTTAAAGTCAATCTAAATGAATAAAAGACATGCATAGCCAAAACAATTGTTATATAAAAAGTAACAACAGAAAAAAATTTAATTTTTCAACTAAAAGTGGTAACATTTTTCTACCAGATATTTTTGATAAGACTCCAAAGCTATGAATGAAAGTAGATATAATTTGTCCTACAATTGAGAAACAATTTAAGACAATTAATTATGTAATATAAAACATGTTTATAAATGAAAGAACTTCATATTATTCATTACTATAAAATAACTTCATATTATGCATTACTATTAATAAAAATATAAGCTTGGTGGGTGGTACACACCTGTAATCCCAGCAACTTAGGAGGCTGAGACAGGAGAATCATGAGTTAAAGCCAGCCTCAGCAACAGCAAGGTGCTAAGAAACTCAGTGAGACCCTGTCTCTAAATCAAATACATAAAAGGACTGGGAAATTATAAATTGACTATATATATATTTTTTTCAATGAAGAATACTGAATAAATGATGCTAAAAACAAAGCTGTATAAGAAATAGAAAACAATTTAGATCCTCATCTTAATGTATAAACAAATAATTTAGAAATATCTAACATTAAATGTTAAACATAAAGGTATTTGTAATCTAGAAGAAAATATATGCATGAATTTTGAGTGTAAAATTTTGTACAGATAAGGAAATAATGAAATAAAAGAAATGATCCATATATTGGATCAAATATAAAATTAGAATTTCTGTGTTTCAAAATATGTTTAAAAATGCTAAGAGACATCCTGCAATAGGGTCACTATTTCCTGTATATATAAATAAATTTTATAAACAATAAAATATCTAATGTCTCACCAACAAACAAAATATGTCTATGTTTTACAAAAAATAAGCAATTTATTTATCATCTGGGTATGCTTGAAATACTGTAAATCAAAAATTTTAAATTAAAGCAAAAAAGTGAGTTATATGCCCATTAATTTGAGCAATTTTTAAAAATATAAACATCAAGCACATAGAGAAGTATGTTACCATTCACTGCACTACTCATTGACTTGACCCTAGTGGAACTGTCTCAATAGGTATCAAGAAATGTCAGCCAGTTTGTATTTCTTAACCTGGTAATTTTCTCCTGGAAATTTGTACAAAGGGAAAAAAATAAAGATGCAGTCAAAGATTTATGTGTATGTATTTTTATCACAGATTTAAAAATGAAAAAAGTAACAATAATATAAAATTTTAAAAGGCATTTTATATACTATTATACAATCATTCAAATATCATATTTTCTAAGAATATGTAATAATTCAAGAAAAGACTTACTGTAGTTTGCTGAGAGAAAATCAGGAACAAAATTGGTTAGATAAAATTTTATTTGTGAAATACAAACATTTTATCAAATTACCTAGATTTTCTATAGTGAATAAATGAAGTGTATAATTTACTTATACTTAAAAAAGTAAACTTCTTAAAACTATACAATGATAAGTGTTCCAGTGATTATAATCATAATATGCAATCTTCTGGTTAAATAAGAAACAATTATTCTTTGAGGTAAGATTACTGGGAGTTTGCTTTTAAGAGATTTTCTTTAGAAATGCATTTGGGTGTTTTAGAGTAATTGACCATACTGAGCAGAACGTCTTCCTATGCAGATGACTAATATGATCAATACAGCATAATCAAGAGATGTTTGTATGATAAGTGTAGAGCATAAGATATCTGAAAATAAAGTTTATATAAGGTGAATTAGGTTGTCATTACTTTCTATAACCATCCTGGCATCTGTAGAAGTATAAGAATCTATAGAGATTCTTCATAAGTCTCAGTGTGCATTTGTGGCTGTAAGTATATCCTGAATAGCACATGAAAGATTTTGAGATGCACCAAATGTACATTCTATGATACGGAGTAAAAGGTCGACCAGGTGTACCTACATAAGCCTTTACTGATCCAGGTGCTCAGCTCGTCAGAGAGATGGGGAAAACAGCTCTTGACAAAATCCTCAAAGGTCACTGTTGCTAGGGCATTGATGCTGGCAGCCACGGTACTAAAGGGAAAGAAAAGCAAGAACATAGTTCAAACTAAACAAGGCTAAGCCATCAACCTGCCCTATCATCCAAGGCAGATAGACAAAGGAGAGGTCTATAAAAAGGAGATGTTGACATATGTCCATGTTCTGGAACTTCGGAGGAATACATAGCCTGTACTCATTCATCATAATTTCTTCTGCAATAATGCTCTTTCAATTATTCCACAAACTACACAGAAAAAGTTAGACTTTTATGCTCTGACTCCCATTAATTCCTCTTAATGAATAGTTAATAAGTTAGCAGGGAATAAAAGAGGGAGTGTGTGTGTGTGTGTGTGTGTGTGTGTGTGTGTGTGTGTGTGTGTTTAGGTTGGAGTGGAGCTGGAAGTAATGACTATCTTAACCCAAGAATCAGTTTACCACTGATTCATAATTCATAAATTAATGTGTCTGCTTTTTAATTCTTTGTACTAGGCATACAATGGTGAACAGAAAAAAACATGGGTCTTACACTCTTAACTAGGAATGCCGATATTTAAAACCAATTATACAATTGATTCCAGTTGTGAAATTGTTAGGAAAACAACAAGATTCCATAAAAACATGCCCCAAAGAGACCTAAACAGACTATCCACAAGATTCCCTTTAGGAAGTGGGAAATAAAGACAGGTATTGAAAGGAGTCATGCAAAGTAAGAAAAGATGTTTGGAGGATGAAGGGAAAATTATATAGAGGCACCTTGATGGATAGGCACTTCTCCTTCTTTTTACATTCTGAAGCCCCCTTCATAGCTGGAATGCAGAAGAGGTCAGACAGAGAAACAGCAAAACCAAAAATGCATGAGTTCTGATGTTCCCTCTGACTTTCCTTCAGAGTTCCCTCCTACTAGACCTAAAACTTGTTTGAATGTCAGAAAGTTTGAAACTTTAGGTTTTCTTTATAGAATAGCATGAAATCTTATTTAATTCTTCATGTAGACCAGAATATTTTAGCTGCTAAAATAGAAAACTATTAAATTCAAATGGGGCAAAAAAAATCACAATTTAAAAACTATTCCCTTTAGAACACATAATATTAAAACTATTCTTTTAAAAATAAATCACTGCTTTCAAAGCACAATTATATAATAGAATGAACACAAAGTTGAAATTGTAAGAAGATAAACTTCAAAAATATTTGCAGATATTACGATTTATGTACAGACCCAGAAGAATTAGCTTAAAGTAACTAAGGGAGACCTAGTTGTCAAGAATATTATGTAAAAGAAAAGCAATACATACATAACAGTCTAACATAAATCAGATTTTAAATCACAGTCATTAAAATTATTTATATCACCATAGTTAAAAATCAGTACATGAATGGAATATAAAAGAGCATTCTGAGAAGCTCTCAAAGACAAAGAATCTAGGAAATAATAAAAGCAGTCTTTAAAGAACATGGTTTAAAGATGGCTTATTAACTATGAAACAATAGAAAACTGTCTACTAATGTAGAAGTAAAATAAACTAGCAACTTTAATTGATTTGCTATATTATAAACATAATATACATGCTTTAATGTAAATATACTAACATGGGGGATGGATGACTTAAAATCATAAAACGGAGAATCCTTTATGACAATGTTGTTAACCCAGAAATAATAATGGAAAATTGTGAATTAAAAACTCAATATTTTTTATTTTATTCTTTTTTCCCTGGTATAGGGCCTCATGCATGCTAGGAAAGTACTTTACCACTGAGTTACAACCCAAGCTCTTTTAAATTTTATTTTTAGACAGGATCTCACTAATTTGGCCAAGCTGGTTTCAAATTTATAATCCTCCTGCCTCTGTCTCCTGACTAGCTAGGATTACAGGCATGTTCAATCACACCCAACTAAAATCTCAATATTTCAAAGGAAAACATGGAAGGCTAGGTAGTATGTTTCAGGTCAGAGCCCCTGCAAGAATACCCCAACAGGGCAATGCATGGAGTCATAGCAGCAAAGCTGAAATTTCAATGATGGCAGAGATGCCAGCAATGTGCAGTACTCATCAGAGAAAACTACAGGCTGCATGCAAAGTCAGCCCAAGAGAAAGACCATATAGGTTGCAACCAGAAAGTCCACATAGGAGGAACTTCTCAAAGTCTTGGGAGCCCACCTTCACCATAAAACACTCCAGATACCAGACTTGAAACTTTAGAACTTAATTTTTACTGCTAAGTTCTTGGTCTTGCCTTGAGACACTAATTCTATTTTTTCTCCTATTCCTCTTTTTTGAAATGGAAATGAATACCCTGTACCTGTCCCACTACTGTATATTAAATGTCCATAACTTTGATTTTTTACAGGGCTCACAAATGGGCTTGCCTTGAGTCTCAGGAGAAACTAGTCTTATATTTTTGAGCATTACTAGAACAGTTAAAATTGTGGATAATTTTGTGATGAAATGAGCCATCTTTGGGGGGGGGGTTACCTGGGATTGAACTTAGGGGCAGTCTATCACTGTGCCACATCCCCAGCCCTATTTTGTATTTTATTTAGAGACAGAATCTCACTGAATTACTTAGTGTCTTACTTTTGCTGAGGCTAGCTTTGAACTCATGATCCTCCTGCTTCAGCCTCCTGAGTTGCTGAGATTACAGGTATGCACAACCACACCTGGTTGAAATGAGTAATTTTACATCATAAGGTAGACATGAACCTTTGGGATCCAGGTACAAAATTCTATAGTGCAAATGATGAATATCCACTAAAAGTCCATGTGTTAAAGGCTTGGTCCCCAAGGTGGTTCTTCTGTGAGGTGATGGAATCTTTGAGAATTAAGTCCTTTTGGGAGGTCCTTAGGTCATAGAAGGAATGTCCCCAAAGAAGATTATGGGGCCCTGACCCCTTCCTATCCCTCTCTTCTACTTCCTGGCTCATGAGCTGAGTGAATTTTATTTTGCCATGGCATGCTGCCTCCTTGGAACTCCAAACTAATGAATAGTTGATCAGAGGCTAGAACCTAAAAACTATAAATCAAAATAAGCCATTTATCTTAATAATTTACTTGTCTCAGGTATTTCATTATAGTGATGCAAAGGTAACTATACAGTATCAGAAAAGGTCGAGATAATAACAGAATGGTGTAGATGAAGGACAATCTAGGCTTACATCCTGCTTCTGCAGTTTACTAACTCACCATGGATAAATTGTCTACCTTGTTAAACCTATTTTTGAATCAGCAAACCAACAATAATGTAAGTACAGTTTTTAGTCTCAAATGCTGTGTGATCACTATTGAGCAAATACAAATAAAGCATTCAATATGACCGTGGACACATAATAAGTGTTAAGCAGATGCTGTTGATTATTACCTCCATTACCCTTGTTATTTCATCATCATTGTCATCATCATTGTCACCATCAGCATCACATTGTTGTTGATGTACTAACCTCAATGTTCCACTAAAGGCACAAGCCACAAAAAGTCCTGGAAGTCCTGGCATTGTGGCAAAGAGCTCCATGACAAAATAAGGCATCAGCTAGGGGAAGAGAAAGAGAAAGAAAGAGAAAGGGTGGGGGTGGGGAATCATGCTCTTCTCAGCAATATCAGAAATGTGGGAATGTAGCTTTTCTGTAAAAAAAGATTATATA